CGGGGCCGGGGCTGCCGGTAAGTTGGCGGCGCGGTGGCGGCGGCCCCGGGGGAGCGGGCGCCGCGCGCGCTCCCATTGGCCGCCCCGCCGTCAGCTGCTCCTATTTTCTGCTGTCGCTTTTGGCGCTCGGCCATCCAGAAACAAACCACTTCGATGACTCCTAATAGTTATCGCCAGATGTACTAATACACAACAAATCACGGTCCGGGAGAGGGGGAGAGCAAATGAGTTCCTATTTTGTGAATCCCACTTTCCCGGGGAGCCTGCCCGGGGGCCAGGACTCCTTCCTCGGGCAGATCCCCCTGTACCCGGCGGGCTATGATGCTCTCAGGCATTTTCCGGCTTCGTACGGGGCAAGCAGCCTGCAGGACAAGACTTACACCTCACCTTGTTTCTACCAACAGTCCAACACCGTCATTGCTTGCAGTCGGGCTTCCTATGAGTACGGAGCCTCTTGTTTTTATTCGGACAAGGACATTAGTAGCGCCTCTCCTTCCGGCAGTGGCAAACAGAGGGGGCCCGGGGACTACCTGCACTTTTCTCCCGATCAACAGTACAAAACCAGCGGCGGCCAAGCCAAAATTATAAATGACGAAGGCACCGACCGGAAGTACACGAGCCCTGTTTACCCCTGGATGCAGCGGATGAACTCCTGCGCTGGTAAGGCATCTCGGTGCAGTCAAGGGCGGAGAGGGGAGGAAAAGGAAAAGTTTCTTTTTTTTTTTTTTTCTTTTTTTTTTTTTTTTTTTTTTTTTTCCTAGATAAAGTCCAGATTGCTGGAGAAACATGATTCCCGCAGGGCAATATGTAACATGAAACCTTCGCAGGTTTAGACCTGGCACGTTGGCACCCAGGGAATGGTGGCCAAGATCCCAGTATGTAGGTTTACTGGTGAAAGTTACAGGGGAATCCTTAGAAAGTAGGGGGAAAAAAATTTAAAAGGAACAAAGCACTTTTATCACTCTCTTAAAGCCATCCCAAAGCCTCTGCTCTGCTTCTTCATTGTCAGAGAGCGATGCATGGAATATGCCCTCTGTAGTGAGGATCCAAAGCATTTGTGGTACATTCCTCCTCGCCCCCCTCCCCCAGCTCATTAGCCTGTGAGTATTGGATATTGAGAGCACGTTTCTGGGGCCGTGGGCGCACTTCCATGGCATCGCGGATTTTTCCAGACTTAGGAGTGAACTTCACATAATTGAACTATTCTGTACAGGAGTGGTGCTGGGGGAATGGCGGGGGGGGGGGGAGTGGGAGGGTTGTACTGGGGTGACATTTATTTTTTACAATCCCAAATTTAAACGTTTACTTCAAGTGTTTGCTAATGACTCGCCTTTTCTCCCATCCTCCCGAGTTTATGTTTGCTGCAGGGTAGGTCTCACTCCTTTTTTTGAAAATTAAACTTTTAGCAAGACCATTCCGATGCTGCTTTGCATTCAAGAGCAATAAATTCTGGAGCAAATGGCAAAACGCTCTTCTATGATCTTTAGCTGATGTCTATAATTATACTTAGAGACCTTCTGCAGTCCCAGCCATGGCAATGGCTGTGTGTTTGTGTCAACACAGCCGCATGTGCGTGCACACACACACGCACAGAACATGCGTGGGGCTTCCCGGGTAGCACACGTGTGCCTGTGCCTGTGTGTGCGCACAGGCTCCCAGCGCGCACAGAGCAGCCTCTGCTCAGCCACTCGCCCCGTGCTACCTCCTGCACCTTCCCTAGGTCCACCTTAAAGCCTCTCTGTATCCCACTTACCCCGCCACCGTAAGCACACAGCACATCTGCATTTACAGCTCGTCAGGCAGGAGAAAAGGAAAAGAGAGAATTTAAAAAAAAAAAAAAATTAAAAAAAAAAAAAAAAAAAAAAAAAAGAGCCTCCAGGAAACCAGGGCAGCTTCCCCCACTCCCCGTGATTGTGCCTGCAAAAGGAGGCAGAATATACTAATCGCTCTTTCTGGTCTGAAATCACTGGGCCCTGTCCAATGCGATCGTTTTGTCTTTACTTCTACAGGTACAGTATATGGAACACATGGGAGACGAGGGAGGCAAACTTACACCAGATACCAAACGCTAGAGTTAGAGAAGGAATTTCATTTTAACAGATACTTAACCCGAAGACGACGTATTGAGATTGCAAACGCTCTCTGCCTTACTGAACGCCAGATTAAAATATGGTTTCAAAACAGGCGGATGAAATGGAAAAAGGAAAACAAATTCATAAATTCCACACAGCCCAGCAGCGAAGAAACAGAGGAAAAGTCAGGGGAGTAGAACCACGTTTAATAAACGCTACCAGGCCTTTCCTTAGCGCTTACTACTACTATTATTATTATTATTTACCTTGTGTTCCTTCTGCTACTGAAATCCTATAGGTTTGTCACAGTCTATTAATCCCCAAAAGGCTTGGTTAAAAGATGTATATTTGCAATCATCTGTGACTTACTCTAATATATGTGGAAGCCCCAGCTTTCGAGCTACAGGCATGTATGTATGTAACCATCTTCCTAAAGCGTATATGGCGTCGGTTAAAGCATTAGAGAATTGGCCCAGAATTTTAAATGTTTGAGATTAGCATCTCAAATGGGTGAGTGGGTGGGTGTCCCTGGTGTGCTTGTGTGAGAAAAGATAAGCAAATTATTTTTTATCTTTTTTTTTTTTAATTAGAAATGCTTTTATTGTAGAAAGACAAGAGATTTTAGAAAATATTTGGTTTATGTTTTTGCTAGCTCCCGTTACGGCGGGCCATCTCGTTATTCTATGTTTAGGAGTTTATGATCCGCAGGGGAAAAAAAAGTTTTAGCTATGTATAAGATATTTAAAGAGCAAATGGAAGAAAATTTCTTTTAAAAAACGTTGTATAAATCCCTGTGTATAAACTTTCAGTTAAAGCGAAGATGAATTGCAGGGATATTTTTTTTTTAAATGTCGCTAAACTGCTTAGTCTGCACTATAGTATTAAAGTAAAAACTCGGTGTTAAACTTCAGGGGAAGCGAGGGAAGAGGTTTTGAAGCGGGCAATTTTCTGTGGTTCCCGTTGAGCTTACGCTAAGGTTTTGGTGAGCTCAGCTCTGCACTGAAGGGGCTTTGAATTATGGACTACATTTCTTGGGGCTTCGTGAGCTTAGATCGATCTTTTCCCCTTTAATCTCTCTTTCTTTCTCTCTTTCTTTCTTTCTTTCTTTCTTTCTTTCTTTCTTCCTTCCTTCCTTCCTTGCTTCCTTCCTCTCTTTCTTATTTGAAGAAAAGGTCTTATTAACTTGGGGATTTTCTTTCCTGCTTCTGCGGTATCTTAATTCACATTCGCATTACTTAGCACTGGAAAAAAATAAATTGATACTTTGAAGAAAAATAGCTGCCATAAAATGCTTCCACTTCGAGATTTGTAAAAGTAAAATAAGGGCAGAAAAAATATTGATTAATATATACATTACATCTCTATATTATATTGCATGTGCATGTGAAGCTGTGTAGAAATGCACTTGTATACGCATCGAGGCTCTTTTGTTTGGAAGGCAGCACAATTTGGGCTACCACTCTAAATGTTTTAAAAGCCAAATCTGGAGAATATAATGCAAAATGGCTACCACCGCATTTAGAGGATTTTTTCCTCTCCGAGAGGCGATGAAATAACGGCAGCCGTAAAGTCGCCTGGAATCTGAACCCCTAGTTGGAAAAAACGCTGCACGATTTTCATCTTTAATAGATATCTGCCATTTCACATCGGCAGGACCCGGCTGCTTCTCGAAAGCTCCGGCACGGGAATAAGTGTGGGGGAAATTATATATCTATGTATATATATGTAGAAGGGACATAAACCTCGCCAGCATCCGAGAACGGATCGTGTAGGATTTGAGCACCGGCGTAAAAAACCCTCGCACGGAGGCGAAGGCAGGCACAAAGCGGAGCGCTCTCTGCACGCCCATCTCCCCGGCGGCCGGCTCGCAGGAGCAATGCCGCCAGCCCCGCAGCCTCGCCGCCGGTGCGGGTGCCGGTGCCGGTGGCGGCGAGCCCCGCTCCGCTCCGCGCCTCTCCGCGCCGCTCCGCGCCGCCGTCGGGGGCCGTCACCCCGGGCCGACCCCGCGGAGTTTTATGCGGACGGGCGGGCGGCGGCGGCGGCGGCGCGCACGGGAGGCGCGCCCCGGGCCGCCCGCGCCCTCCCAGCTCCCCCACCAGTGCACGAGTTTACCTCTAGAGGTCATCAGGCAGGATTTACGACTGGACAACAAAAGCACGTGATGTGAAGCCGTACCCCATATTTGGGTGCCTACGTAGGAGGGAACCAAGTACATGTCCCAGTCATTTCCATAATTCATCATAAATTGTGCAAGGGTGCTATAGACGCACAAAACGACCAAGAGCCACAAATCAAGCACACATATCAAAAAACAAATGAGCTCTTATTTTGTAAACTCATTTTGCGGTCGCTATCCAAATGGCCCGGACTACCAGTTACATAATTATGGAGATCACAGCTCGGTGAGCGAGCAATACAGGGACTCCGCCAGCATGCACTCCGGCAGGTACGGATACGGCTACAATGGCATGGACCTCAGCGTCGGGCGCTCTGCTTCCACTCACTTTGGTGCCAATGAGAGACCCCGCAGTTACCCGGCCAACACCACCTCTGCCTCGACAGAGCCCAGGTACAACCAGCCCGCGACGTCTTCCCACTCGCCTCCCCCTGACCCTCTGCCCTGCACCGCCGTGGCCGGTTCGCCTGTCAGCGAGAGTCACCACGGGGTGAAAAACTCCCTCGCCAACTCCACCAGCACTTCGTCCAATTCCAGCAGCAACACACACATCAGCAGAGACGGGGTTGGCACCTCGTCTGGGACTGAGGAAGACACTCCAGCAAGCAGCGAGCAGGCAAGTGCCCCGACCGACCAAAGCACAGCCCAGCCTTCACAGCCCCAGATCTACCCCTGGATGCGAAAACTGCACATAAGTCATGGTAAAGCAAATACCCTGTTCTTTCTTTATTTCTCTGGAGGAAAAGGAGGATTTAATGTAAACCGGGTGGCTGCTCCGAGCAAGGTCGGGGAGAGGGGGAGAGGAGGGCGTGAGAGCGGGCAGTCTCCGCTCACACCACAACTCTGCTCGCAGGGAAGCACGCTCCCTTCTTTGGGCGAGTCCCCCCCGAAAGGAAAAAAAAAACCTCTCGGCCCCGAAAACACCGCCCGCCTGGCTCCCAGCGCCGGCGGGGGGAGTAGAAGGCGCCTTGCCGAAGGGAGATCGGGAGCAGAGGCTGCTCCCGGCTCTCCTCTGAATGGGGGATCTTCCAGTGGGAACGGCGCGGCTGACCCCATTTATTTTGCTTAGACATATTAAAAAGAGAATAGGAAAGGGCGAGAAGGGCAGTTTTCACTGCTGGGAAGCCGTGGGGGAGGGGGCAGGGCGAGTCGCCCCAAACTCGGGGTAGAGGGCTCGAGGGGCGCGGGGGAGCAAAGCAACTTTCAGCCCCGGGTACCTGCCCTGCCCTCGCTGCTGGGAGAGCGGCCGGAGGCTCGCTGCCTCCCAGAGCCTTCCCCAGCTCAGCCGTGGGAAAGGGCTGCACGCTTCAGCTTTGCTCTCTCAGCTCTGAAAACCCAGCTATCAGCAGAGACATCCTCCAAATCAGCTTATCTGGGGGAGGCATGGGGGACAACTAACCTTATTAAAAAGAAAAAAAAAAAAAAAAAGAAACTGAAAAAAATTAAATTAGAAAAAATGGAATCGCAAATCCAAGCGAAAACTTACCGAGACTACCAAATCCCCCTCCCCCAAGCCTTTGCTAAGAGGGGCTGGAGGGGGAAACTTGTTGAGCGTTTATCCAAACCAGAAACAAAACCAAGCAGGACCGAGAATAACGGTCCTGGTTGCTGGTAGCTGCAATGAGACACGAAGGCTCCGAGAGGCTGCTGAGAATCTAAATCATGTACTTTTCTCTTCCAGACAACATAGGGGGACCAGAAGGGAAAAGGGCTCGGACTGCTTACACCCGCTATCAGACCTTGGAGCTCGAAAAGGAATTTCACTTCAATAGATACCTGACCCGCAGAAGAAGGATTGAAATAGCACATGCTCTTTGCCTCTCAGAGAGACAAATAAAGATCTGGTTCCAAAACAGGAGAATGAAATGGAAAAAGGATAATAAGCTGAAAAGTATGAGCATGGCAGCTGCAGGAGGGGCATTCCGTCCCTAAGCGTTTGATCAATTAAAAGTACTGAGCAGTATTAGCTGACCCTGCGTCGTCTCATGTCAGTACTAAGTTGACTTTCTAAAACTTCCTTGTGTTACTTCTGTGAAGAAACCCTGTTCTTGTCGCCCTTATTCATCTTTTAATCATGAGCCTGTTTATTACCATTCTCTCGCGTGTATAAGTAGATCTGCTTTTATCGTACATTTCTTTGTCTTGAATGGCTTTGTCTTGAAAAAAATAATAGATGTTTTAACTTATTTATAAGAAGCGAGCTGTGTTACTTGAAGTAACTGTTAAAACAAAACAAAACTAAACAAAAAAGGACAAAAAGGAAAAAAAGAAGTTAAAAAAAAAAAGGAGAGAGAGAAAGGAAACCCTCCCCCGGTTTAGTACAAATGTTATGTGTTGCACTCAACCTGCTTAACTGTGCATGTGTGGTCAAGTGTTAATGTCTGTATAGCTCCAAGCTGTTAAAAATATTTTTATTCAAACTACCTATATAATTCCTGTGTAATTAATGCTGTTGTAGAGGTGAAATGATGAAATCAACTGAACTTGTCCTACGTGTAGTGAATAGTGAATCTGTGACGAAAACTGTGATTCCAAGCAGTATGTCCTTGCTGTGCCTTTGTATATGACTCTTTGCACGAACTCTTAGAAGTGGCTCTTATTAAGCGCAGCTTCTGTGATGTATGTTTTTTGTGAACAAAGTTACAAATATAGTCAAAGTCTGGCTGTTTGAGCAAACTGTGATCAGCTTTTTTTTTTTAATTATTATTATTATTATTATTTGTTTTTAAAAAAAAACTGACTGGAAATCAACAAAAAAATAAACTTTCTATTGTAAAGTTTTTGTGATCTGATTTGTGCAAAGCAAGAAGTTGTGCTTCCTGATTTGCCTCTGAAAAAGAAAAAAAAAAATTAGCCCGTGCAGAGTTTCTTATAATATTTCACCTGGCTCCTGCTGCACGTTGCATATGGTGGATGCTGCAATTGTCCGCTACCAGTATTTTTAATTGAAAGTTTGACCATAAGTTCTTCCTTACTTGTTTCTCGCTAGGTGGAAAGCTGCATCGCAGGACCACAATCAACACCCTTTGTGGCTGAATCAACTGTTAACTGTTTGCTGATGGTTAATATTAAAAAAAAAAAAAAAAAAAAAAAAAAAAAACAAACCCCCCCCAAAAAAAAAAAAAAAAAAAAAAAAAACCCACCAAAAACCAAACCACAACCCAAACCCCAAAACATGTGCTTTGTTAAAATACGCTGTGAACTCCAGGGTGTGTTTGCATCGCTCTAGAATTTCTCCTGTGGTTTCATTAAGTATGTTTTAGGACAGCCATGTCCAAGCTCTCTGCGCCTATTAGTAACTCTCTCTAGCCACATTCCCACTCTTCACCCTTTAAAGATTTTTGGTTTTCTTTGCTAGAATTATTTTGCTATAAACGTAATGTTACTTACCCCATCAGAGCTTGAATGGTTAACTCTTCTGAGCTTCTAAGAGCAACTAAAGATTTGCACATTTACTGACTGGTTACATTGATGCCTTCCCTTAAAAGTTATAAAACAGTAAACTTTATAAGCCCCAGTTCCGGCTATATGACATTTGGGTGCCAAATGAATAGGGTTTTGTCTATGAATTAGATCGTAAAATCATCCATAGCACAGACAGATAGGCTCACTGGCTATAAAAAGTCACGTGGTGCCATTAAAGTAAGTTTTATGGTTTTGGGGAGTTGACATCCAACATTATATACCACATAACATATAATCTCACTGACGCTGGACTTCATTTGACTCTTTTGCAGGCTACGTGTGCCTCCTGGCCATTCAAATTGTCAGGTTTAGGGACAGAAGTATCCAAACCACAAGTTCTCAGTACTATGTGAAAAATGGCTCCTTGCAAGTCAAAGGTAAGTTTTGTGCACAAGTTCCTTAAAGTTTATTTGTACAGTGGGGAAGCCGAGGCTCCTGCTCGCTCTCGCTGCCTCTCGCCTCTCTCTTTCTTTCTCTTTCTCTTTCCCTTCCTCTCCGCCTGGAGGTTTTCAGGACGGTCCCACCGAGCCCGAGAGGCAGGATCAAGCACTAATGATCCAGGTTGCGCTGTAAATACCTCCCCCCATCCCTTCACTCGCAGCAGCTAGCTCTCTATTTTAACGATCAAATCAAAGTAAACCACAATAAGCGACTTTGGCAGAGATGGATTTTGGGGCCTAGCTTTAATCACTTTGACTACCGCAGAAGATAATTACTTCCTTTGCTCCAATAGACTCTCCAAGTTTGGAGAGGTTTTGTTTAGCAAAGAGTAGTTACTGCAGGCGATTAAAAAAAGGGGGAAACAAAATAGATTGGGCTTGATATTATCTGGGCAGTATCTTATGTAGGCATGATAGAGTTGGAGGCGTGATGATATGGTAATAATCTTTGGATTGGTGAAATATGTTGCACATCAGAGCCAGTATTAAAATGGCACAGACTGTACTGGAGTGCTTAGATACTTATTTTCTGCTTTGGGTTGTGCAGAAAGCTTTAGCTGTGTGTATATGTGCATCTGTGAGTGTGTAGTGTGTTTTGGGGACATGCATTTATAACGCTGCTATAACTTTTTCCCGGTTCTATACATAACTGCATAAATAGAAATGTATTTAAATTATATGCATGCGTGCCTGCTTGTACAAATCAGTTTGTACTTCTGTGTAAAGCCGTGCAGATGCATATATGTGTCTAATATTGGTGTATTTACATACACAAAGGGTGTGTATGTGTGTACACATATATATGTTCCTGTGACTTCCTTTTTTTTTTTTTTTTAAGCGAACCAATTGACTGTAACTTGTAGCATTAATACAAGAGACTACAGGTCATTAGAGTGCTGCAAATTATGAAATACGGGCTTGGTTTATTGAAGATTGTAAATATCCTCCTAGCTCTGCTCTCTCCCTTTCTGCCTTATATTGCTGGCTGCCATTGTGGGGTAGGCCCCAGCTGCGTGTTTACTTCAACATTCTTTTTATTTAAGTGGACTGTTCTCACTAGAGTGTGATTACTCAGCAATAAACTTTATGGCCGGATTTAACTTCAGTCTTTGAATTTCCAGGACTTGAATGAAAGGGTGAAAGGAACTCTATCTTTCTCTGGGTAACATTAAGGCCTGATCCTTATCCTCAGAGCTGTTACTTTGGCGAGTGATCTCGGGGGGTATAAACAGACTAGTCAGGGGCTATGGTAGAATTCTGAGAATTGCCTATTATCTATCTATCTATCTATCTATCTATCTATCTATCTATCTCTCCAAACCAGCTGTGGGCATCTCTTTCCCTGCACAGATTTGGAGTAACATTGTTTCAGCAGATTCCATTGTTTTCTTTTACGTGTCATAAAGTTTGGTTTGCAAAAGAATGGAGTGGTTTGATGTGAGAGATGGGCTTTGTTTTATATCGCTAGTGCTATGCCATTTGAATGTTGTGGTTTAGGCTGGTTTGGCTACTGTGAGCGAAAATGGAAGAAAGGCACAGGGTTTTAGGAGGGTAACGTTGTTGTGTATCTCTTCAAGGTCTGCATATTGCTGACTGATTCTTATTTTTAATTTATTTGTCTTTAGCTTTAAAGAAATGGTAGTATCTAATGTAGGTTCACCCCAAAGAGCTCAGTCTTAAAAACATTTAATATTTAAAGACAACCCTTGCGGAAGATAAATAGAGTCTGATGCCTTTGTGTCTGTCGATCCTTCCTGTCAGCACTAAACAAACACATCTGCATATATTTCATATTAAAAAAATGAGAAAGGCTTTAAAAGAGCATATCCAAATGCACATTCGAAAATCATTTCCTTTTAAACAGCTGGAGATTTTATAGTACTCTAGTTGACACATTTTCGTCAATAGGAATATCAGAAAGTTGTATATGACAGGCGTGTATTATATTATACTATATGCCATAAAATTTTATAGTTTGAGGCAAGGCATGAAAAACCCTTAAAAGTTTGGTCTTCATTTATATATAGGTCCCTTTCCAAGGAAAACCCTTTGCTTGTAGATGGAAATTTTACTAGACACAAGCAGCTCGTGATTACTCAGTACTTAACAACACTGTGCTATTTGAATTAACTGACTAATATACAAGCACGCAAGGACGCCCGTTGGACTAATATTTTAGGATCCTGGATATCATCCTGGATTGTAATTTTTCATTGCCTAGAGTGAAAAGATTTGCTACTGTGTATTTTCCACATTTTTTAATGTGGCTTCTGGACCATATCCCACACAAAGCAATGTACAGTCGTTCAAGAACTATGAAAAAGAAAAATATCCCTAGGTCCAGAAGCATATGAACCCGCCTGTACTGCAAAAAAACACTAGCAACAAAAGAAAGTTAGCTAGAAATGACAACTTCACCCTGTTTCTGGTCCTGCCCCGTATTAAGCATCACAGTTGAAACCATTCAAACACAAAAATGCGTTAAGATTTCCTAATACTCTTTGAAATTTGAAATTCAAACAAGCCCAGACTGCCGAACTCTGCGAAAATAGTCCCAGGTCCGAATTGTTTTCCGAGGGAAAATGTAATGGGAAATTATACCTGGGAATCAGGAGAGAGGTTTTATCTGCACACGTTATTTTTCTGATGAGTTTGGGGGATTAATAAGTGCAAGATTTTTTTCTATTTTAGGAATGGCAAGTTGCGTTCTGCGATTTGAAATACAGTTTACTTAATCCTTTGAAAGAAATACTTGCGTGTAGTGTCTCATGTCTAAGTGTAAAACCAATTAAAGATTAGGCAGCTCTCTTAATGTGTGGAACTGGTGACTTTGCAGGACATAACTTTCTCCAAACCAGGAGTGTAACAATCCAATGGAAAGTCATCCGTAAATTACAGCTCTGCAGCCTTGTCTAAACCATGCAAACGCCCTATTTTCAGAACACGGAAATTATTATTCTGCCATTTCCTTAAATGTAATAAGTGTGTATCTGTGGAAAGGTGACAATAGAGGAGTTTGCAATTTGCTCCATGGTAAATCGAATGGAACTGATCATGAGGGGGGGGATGAGGAGGTTTCGATTTCTAACGCTGAATACGGGAGCAATGCGTTTTCCCTCCCCGTAAATACAGATTTGACGCATTTAATGCAGACACAAGTAAACCTCCTGACCAAGTTAAGATGTCGTTGACTTTCTTAGTCCTTTCTCTTTTTGCCCTAAAATCTTCCCGATTTGAGGCTAGGATTACTAGCCAGAGCGGAAAACCACAGTTCCCACACTCTTCTGGTCATCTTTGAAAATATTATCCCTTTCAAATTAAAG